GGTTTTCTGACTAATGTCAGCTCATGATGAAATCCTGAAACCGATCAAATCCCTACAAACCAACACTTGAATAATAATAATAATAATATCAAACCAAGAAATTGGGGAAGTAAAACTTCACTTTCGCTGAAAACGATTTCAAGAGAGATTTAACCAATCAATATTCTCAAGAGAAGGATCACATCATTTCTGAGAAGAACATTCTGTGCAGCAACGCTAAGAATAGCGTTCTCCAGTCAACCACTGATCTATAGAAGCCTCAATGACAAGATCCCGCATCTGACCAGCAATATCTGCATATCTCAGTTCACCTGCTGCTGTGGAGCCGGCCAGGTACATCGGTCGTTCGACGCTCACTCTGTCCAAGAGGATTCAAGAACGCGATCCAGCACGGTTGCGAAAAGGCGATAGTGTGGTGTAATAAGGAGTGCGATAACTGAACACCTGGTTAACACTGATCATTCCATCTCAACAAACGTCTCTTTCATAGTAATCTACAGAGTCAAGAATAACCTACCAAAGGCAATAAGGTCTCGTCTTCTATGTGTTACTGAGGCTCCAGCCATTTACATAGAAAACCGGAGCTGTGTACACAACTGTGTTGATTTTTGATGGCTTAATTACATTGCTTTGCATGTTTCTCTAACTGCTTATAATTCATGTATTCATTCAGAACTCTTACGAAATGTCTATATAAGCTGCTTTGTTTCTATATGCATCCTGAGTAAAACTCACTCATCAAACTATTCATATCATTACATGACTTCTTTTTAACAACTGTTTGTGACAATTCACCAACTTTGTTACTACCCTAGTTTCATTAACAACTAATTTTCTTGACCGTTTTTGTATTACGTAACTCCAGCCAAAACTTATTAATTCTCACCCCCGCCCTTTAGCTAAAATAAACATGACAAATTGTATTTTTGTTTGACAAACTTAATGTACACATACATATGAAGTTAGCTACACATTTATTTTTCCGACTGTACAGCTAAGAAAATGAATTTGCCGGAGAGAGACTCTTCGCTTAACTACCTGTTTTGTTTTCATGAAATGGGGTCAACCCTAAATTGCAAAAAAGCGAAGATTGAATAGCCATTTTATTTTGTTAGTTACACGGTAAGTACTTTCTCTACCACAAAGAACGCCGGCGGGCCAAATATGGCATTGTTGTGCGAGCTCCTTCCCTTCTACAATGACTTCTATCGCTACCTGATTTGATGCAAGGGCAGAATTGGGAATGAAGAGAATGTTGAAAGTCAGGGAATTTGAATTCAAACAATTTGTCGTATAAGTTCAGATGTCTGTTAACTATAGTTGTAACAAGCTGAATTAGTGGCACACCAACACCTACCCTACTTATAACCTTCAATGCCCTTCTCAGTATGACATAATCCCTTTTGGATGACCAAGGAAAGACTAAGGGGAAGCAGTAAAGGACATTAGGTTAGGCGCAAGGGTTAACAAACTTTAAAAAAAGAGGTTGAGTTATGCCTGATTATCTTGACCTCTTAATATAGGTTAGTCAGAATAGTTTCCTAGAAATTGAAAGGATATGGCTTGACTAAGAAAGGTCAGAGGATGGAAGCATTCCAAGGTATTTTATGCTTGATTTATTCTCTATATCAATGCCTACTAAGCTAAAAGCATCGTGCGAACTAATTAGTCCATTGAGAACAAGCTTAATGGATAGAAAATATATTTGGTGCATAATAATAATAACTTTTGTGAGGTAGTCATTTCCTCTCCCTCGTCTTTTTCTTCTGGATCTCTATTGTTGCACACGTTAATTCTGTTCTCTGAAGTTCACAGCTCCTCACAGACTCTTATTTCCTCCTCACAAGGTCTCCTTTACGTCATGCTCTGGCTCACTCCCAAACTGGTCGTCGTCAAGGCTCTGCCTGAACTGCAACCTCTTCCGACGGTCTCCTAACTGTGTGTCGTCAGTCAAAGGGGTTCTTGGTTTCTGGCAGTTTGATTCTCAGTATGGAGAGAAGTTGAGTGCTGTTGATAAAAATCTGAAGACTGATCAAAATGCTTTAGATTATTATCACGCATTAATTGGTACACTTTTTACAAATGTATATTTCCCTCTGTATGTTGTGTGAATACAATCTGCCCAACAATTCCGGGGTGTCTATATCTATCATTCATATCCTTCTTTATATATTTAGGTTAGGTTGACTGGGTAGTATTGCATAAAGACAAAAGACAAGGGCCAGGAAACAGATCGTTTATTGAGAAAATCAACAGATATTCATAGATTTTTATGTACATTATTGTCAGCGGAGAAGCAACATCTTCTGATTGACTGTTTCCTCGCTGAAGGTTATTCTGTTATCTCTTTTTGACAGTTCCTTAAAAAGTTAAGCCAAACATCTGAGAACCATGTTTCCACACGTTAATTCCGCTCTGATTGACTGGTGATTTCCCCAAGGTTAAGATTTGTTGTTTTTTTCATAACCCCGATTCGGGAGGTAAATATTGATGTAAATTGAAGTCAACAACTATGGCTTGCAGACAGCTCTGTCACCACAGTATCATCAGCCCACAAAGATGCACATACATGACAGGGGTGGCTGGTGGCTTATCACGCATCCGAAAATTCGTTCCAGCTAACTCAAGCTAGAAACTACATTTTTACCCTTAATTAATGATCTGATTTGGCTAAGAATTGCGTAACACAGACGGTGTCAACTGTAGTGAGACTACTTCGGTCGATGGTAACTAGCAGTGGAATTACAGGATGCATGCATATTTCGTCCAATAAAGCACTCAACAGTTGATTGACGATGTTCCGATGATGATTCCTAAACAGGACGAAAAACGCACCCTGGAACCCATTGCTACCAATCACAAAATAACATCATTTTCATATTTAGATATGGTCAAGCCCTTCATACTAGAAGACGACATGTTAACAGAGACCTATCATTTCGGTACACCAACATAATCAATCAGTCAACGAGAAATCTAAATTGACTTGCTTTTTAATTTAGTCTAAATATGCTTCAGTATTCATCATAGAATAACGAAGTTTTAGAAATATATATTTCTCGATATGAATTTAAAACAAACAAGAAAAGTTAATAAAAGCAGACTTTAGTGAATTCATCAAATTTCGACAGGACTCTTCAGCCAGATACTCTCTTATTATTAATTCAAGTTTGATCACAGATTGATTCCAGTTAGAGTAGAAATGGAGTCCAGAGAGTAGAGGACAGCTTTTTCGTCCTAGTTTGGAACTCATCAACAGTACTCACCCAACATAAGACCCTAACTTAGGAAATTCCGGTTACAAGTAAAGCTGGTGGTAGAACATTCAGCCACTGGAACATGACTTAATGGCCAGACTATGAATTCTAATTTCTACGAATTCGTGATTTTAGCGCGACATGCACCGGCCAATGTCATCACCGGCGAGTATTTGTCCTCACTTCCAACCGGGGTGGACCTCACTGGTCACAACTTCTCAATAGAACTCCAGGAAACTTTCTCCCGCAGCCAGTCACTAGCGAGTATCAGATTAATTTTCATGAACAATCCCTATCCAGGCATTAATGAAAACAAAACACGTAGCGCTCAGCGAAGAGTCTCTTTCCGGCAACGAATTCATTTTCATAGCTGTACAATCGCAAATATATGTATGTGAGTTATTTTGTATGTATGTGTACATTAAGTTTGTCAAACAAAAATGCAATTGGTTATGGTTATTTTAACTAAACAGGTGAAGGTTGGTAATACAAGTCAAGAAAGTGAGGTGTTAATGAAACTAGGGTAGTAACAAAGGTGATGAGTTGTCACAAACAGTTGTTGAAAGAAGTTGTGTTATTAAAGGAATAGTTTGATGAGTGAGTTGTACTCAGGATGCACATAGGAACAAAGTAGAGAATACGAAATTACGTAAGAGTTCTAAATGAATACAAGAATTATAAGCAATTAAAGAACTGGCAAAGGAACAAAATTAAGTCATCAAAATATAAAAAAATCGAATCAAATCAAAAAAGTTGTTACCATGACGGTAGAAGTGGTTGAGTAATCCTCTTTTGTATACACAGCTCCGGCTTTTCTATGTGAATGTCCAGAGCATCAGCGATACAAAGAAGATGAAACCGTATTGCCTTTGGTAGGTTATTCTTGACACTGTAGATTACTTTGAAGGAGGTGTTTGTTGAAATGGAATAAAAAGTGATAACCAGGTGTTCAATTATCGCACCCCTAATAGCAGCACTACTGCCTTTACACAACCATGCTGGATAGTGTTCTTGAATCCTCCTTGACACAGTGCGCGTAGAACGACCGATGTACCTGGCTCCATAGCAGCAGGTGGAATGATATATGCACATATATAGTTAAAATAACCATAACCAATTGTATTTTTGTTTGACAAACTTAATGTACACATACATACAAAATAACTCACATACATATATGTGCGATTGTACAGCTATGAAAATGAATTCGTCGCCGGAAAGAGACTCTTCGCTGAGCGCTACGTGTTTTGTTTTCATTAATTTTCATGAGTTTGTTTGCACGTGTTTGATAGTATTACTATTTCCGATAATAATAATAATAATAATAATAATAATAATAATAATAGGAGGGTATCCGGCTGAAGAGTTCTACTGAAATTCAATAAATTTACTAAATCCTCCATCATTACCTTTTATTGTCTGTTATAACGAACATGGTTGGAAGGAAAAGGAACACCGGTTAATTCAACAGGGGAAAGAGAATTCGTCAATGAGTAAATACTCATTCAACAAAAGGACTTTGAAAAAAAAGTAGCGAAACATATTCATCATGTGATCTAATGCTCCAGAATCTAATCCTTCATCTAGTCTTGAAATGAAGACGATTTTGAGTGGGTATCTTATTTACCTTCTACATGTGTGTGTGTGCGCGCGGTAATTTATGATGGAATCTACCCATCACTTTATTTTATGTACTTGAATAGTGTTGGTTGAATAATTCAAGAAGGAAGAAACAACAAAATCAAACTATCATGTGTTTCATTCTCAATATTTGTTTCTCAATGATATGCGTCTGATAAGTAAAATATGAGATGAAATGAGAATATAAAAAAAAATAACAATCAAATGGAAAAAAATAAAATCAATTTTCAAAACAAAAAATACAGATGAGTTCAATTTACTTTTATGAAAAATGAAATGAAAATAATTACGAATAGTAAGTAAGCGTGTTGTATGTTGTAGCGCACAGCACAGCACAGCACAAATTGAATCAAGCGGGTTATTATTATTATTTCAATGTTGATGTTCAATGGTGAAGCAGTTCTTTTGAAAGAAAAACAAACAGACAAAAATATAACAAAATTCATGTACGCATTAAAATAAATCTATGACCAATTTCTAATAAATCAGATGAAAAATAGGCAAAATACATTTGTCTATATTGATCGGTGACTTTAGTATACGTGAATCTCATCAATATATTTAATGGATAGAAAATGTATTTGATGTATGATAATAATAATAATAACTTCTGTGAGATAGTCATTTCCTCTCCCTCGTCTTTTTCTTCTGCATCTCTATTGTTGCATACGTTATTATTATTATTATTATTACTAGTAGTAGTAGTAGTAGTATTCTTGTTATCGATCTTATTGATCTGAAATATTGATAAAAATGTATAGTACAACTTTTGTAACGGTTTCGGGAATACAAACTTCAAATACTTATTTATCTCCTCGATTGACGGTACACGAAGTTGAAAGTTGAACCAACTATTTGTTGTTGAGTAAATAAATTTTATTGGCTGAAAGGTGTGTACAGAAAAGAAAAAGAGATAAGAAACGGATATATCATCAGACATAAGAGAACGTAAATAAACAACAGAGATATAAATACTGAGTATTGAACAAAGAATATTCTTTTCCATAACCTGCTCTCCACCTTCAATGGTATCTACCATTTCAACTGCACATGTCGAACGAATTATACTGACCGTTGCTCTAGGAACTTTATCCTTTCGTGATCACTTGGCAGCACCTATCGGTGTGGGTAAATAAAGGTATGGTGAAAAACATCAACAGCTCGATATTAGACCACCTGGTTCAAACGGGCTACAAGGCCAGCCAGCATTGAAGTATCCTTCTCCATCACCTACCAGGTACCAAATATAATTTGCCGAAAGCATCCAGGTACCGAAGACTCCAAACAGTAGAGGCTATTGCCATCTGCCTGAAAAAACCAATGCTCTGCGTGCAGAAGAAACAAGTCCCCCGACCTTCAATGGAGACTATAAATTCATGAATTATGTATTACTATTATTTTCCCCAATTTGATTGTATGGGGGGATTTAGGGATGAGCTGACATCAGTTAGAGAACCACTGGAAAACCTGGGACTGCTGGACAACTATTCCGTCTTAGTTTGGGACTCTTCATCAATACGCACCCACACTGAGGCGTTACAAGGTGAGCTCGTACACCAGTGAGCCACTGGGACCCGATCCAATGGTCCTTGAATTCTAACTTCTGCCAATTCACGACATAGCGCGACCACTTCGCAATGTCTTCTTCGATGAGTTACTGCCTCATCTTCAACCTGCTGTACCCTACTGGTCACGGCTTCCCACTAGAAACCCAGGTTAACTGCCTGAATAGGGCCAGTCGCTAGAGAGCATCAGATTAATTTTCAAGTATTGGTTTTGTGGGGATTTTTTGGATTGTATGGAGGATTTCACCTAATTTGTCTGTCTGATATTCAGTGTAGTGTTGTGTTGATGGATATTATCACACTTATAGATGCTCGGTATTGAACTGTAATCTATTGATATTATTGATTAATTCGATGTCATTTAAACCATATTAATGATGTTAATAACCCTAATTCCTTCATTATTAATATGGACACATATAACTGTAGAACCTGATGAAGAGCAGGTAATCGAAAAAAATATTCTTTCTTCAGTAGCCATTCTTTTGAAAAAAAATTTTTAATGGGTATTTTTTATTATTTGAGATAGGAATACACTGGCTGCAAACTAGATGCTAACAATAAATGCCATGTTTTTTGGTCCTGAGTGGGTGAAGTTCATTCAACTTTCACCGTCCAATATGACACAGGAGTACCAATGACTTTGAAAGCAGAAATTTCGCTAAAAAGAGTAAATTTTGGATCCTGTCAATGTTGGTGAACCTTGAATAGTTTGTTTAATTGAAGCTGATCTTTATTTGGTGGGAGACAACAATGACGATCGTTGTTTAATCACGTGGTGGTTGGCAGATGACAAGAGAAATACCATTAGAAGTAATATTGTACATTTTATTAACATTCATTCCTACGATTCGCACATCGTCACTTGTAGTAGTCCTGTTTCATAATCTGTGGAGAAAGTAAACAGTCACATTATCCCTCCGTTTTCTCATATTCAGTGTTGGTTACTGTGCATAGTATTCCGCATGTTAGGTGCGGTCTTCTGAAGTCAACGACGGGCCCAAGATGTTTTGTGATCTGGATATTTGACAGGGGGCCATTACACTAATTTTTATTACTTAACCTAACTGTGATCCATGCCTAACCAACTCTCGTATCTTTATAATTAGGTTAACTAATCCCTCATCCCGAATCTAACCTTCCTTAAATGAATCCGACCAGATATTCTGTTGAATACCATTGCATTTCATTCCACAACTTCTTACCTGGTCTCACTGTCTTGTAATGACTGAGCACTTCAATGGGCACTGATGCATTCATGTCTGTTAGGTGTGTGTGTGTATGTGTTGATATCAGCCAGTCAGAAGAAGGTAGTCATCAAAAAAACTTGCTCGTTGACACAGTTCACTTTGAATTGGTGTTATGTGGTTGAAAGCAATCGACAGAAAGCATTGAATTTATGTTTTGTATTTGTTGGTATTCTTTAGGAACGCCAAAAAATGTCTCATTGGCAACAATTCATTACCGAGTGATGTGAGGATTTGAATTTCGCCAGACGATATCAGCCCCTTCAAGTTAGCAGATAGGCCTCGCTGAGGCTTTCCTGTACGAACAGCTTCCCGCCAGTTGCTTCCGATCACCTGAAAACCAACACTACTGTCTGACGTGATTAGTTTCTAACTACTGCTTTTATCAATAAGTAGTATCTGCACCATGCGAATACCATCTTTTTTTAATTATCATTATAATCTTTAATTTGGAGGCCGGATGTCACGCCTATCAACCAAGGGACGTGTGTACTGCTCAGCAGTTCGTTCCGTCCTTGTCTATGGCTCTGAAACATGGCCAATACGAGTTGAAGACATGAAAAGGTTGACTGTTTTTGAAAGGCATGTAGGCAGACTTGGAGCCAGGTGAAAACGCTGGTAGAGAACCGAACGCAATGGAGACGCGCGGCTGAAGCCCTATGTTCCTTTACGATTTAAAAGAAATAATAATGATAATATATACAAGTCCGACCATCGAATCAAGGTAGCAGCTATCTGCCTAGATTGAATGAGCACGTAATCTCAGCCACGGAACACGCCATAGGATTATATGCACTACTGATGTAAATCTCAAGTGTTATTGAAAGCAAACAAACAAAAATAGTAGCAAAACACGCCTTACTTGTGATAAATTCATAAGTTTTCCACGAAGTTCTTCAACAGAGGATACTTGACTAGGATAACTAATCCTTGAAATATTTTCTTCTATCCAGAATTCCGTGAACATACCAATGAATGAATTATGATTTTGATCAGCAGTATTATTATTATTACTATTACTACTGAACACTGGTATAGCTGATTGTATTGCTATACAACATTGTGTATTCCATTTAGTCAATGATTTACACCATTCTTCAGAATGTAAAGTATCCAATAAGATTAAAAGACGCATACTTCTCGATAAGTTTTTGAACGATTTCGATAGACATGCTAATTCCCATAAGTCAATAAGATTCTTTAAAGTAATTACACTTTCATCTGTTGAAAAACCAAAAAAAAAATGCTTTTTTTTTCTCTGAACAGTACTGGTGTATATGACAGTGAAGGGATCTTATATTTTTCAAATGTTTTATTTAAATGTAAGCAACAAATAAGCAGGAAGAAATGGAGGTGAATTGGAGGCCATACTCTGAGAAAACAAACCACCATCAGGTGAGTGACATCACAAGACAGGTCATCGCTCGAGTGGAACCTGAACAGGAAGAGGTGAGTTGGTCGTCAGTGCGAGGCTAGGGTAACATGGAGAAGGAGGTCATTTGAAGAGGAGATGAGAGCATGTGGGCAGACGCGGAGCCAGGCGAAAACATTAGCAGAGAACCGAACGCAATGGAGACGTCCGGGGCTGAAGCCCTACATTCCTCTGGGAACTAAAGGAAACAATAATAATAATAATAACTAGGAGAATATAAGAGAAGAGGTTTTCAATAAACAGTTACTCATTTTAGCGATATCAAGCTACTGATGAAATTTATCAGTAGTATAGAAGGAGATATTCGTCGGCATAAAATCGCCATACAGTGGAGGGATAGATTTAACGTCAAAGAAAGCGAATGATTCAGTGTTGCGGTAAAACATGCGAGACACAAAGAGAAGACAAGAAAGAAACACAATACGAAGGGTAGAAGGAGTAGAACATGGAAGATCTGTGCAAATGATGACTTCAGATAAAGTGTACAGTGGTGGTACAACCGTTAGGACTTTCGCCGACCATGCACATGACCCGAGGTTCGATTCCCTGCCGACGCACACCTGATATCTATGGTCAGCCTGCAAAATTTGGGCTCCCGATATCCATGGTGAAAATTACATACTTGTACCAAAAATACAGTGTGGAATCAAGCTGAAATCAAAAATAAAAAATAATTTCCTTGTATAGAAATATTAAATTCCAAAGAAATATTCCTTTATATATTATTTCAATTAATACCAGCGTGGTACTTAAATAAATCAAAACAAGATCTGTTTTCTGAACGCTTCGCCGTGTGAGCCACAGCTTCTTCAGAAGATTTATTCGGATTTTTATTCATCATCAAAATATATAGTCAGAATGTTTTTTATACATAAATTGAAGTCAGTTTATTTGATGGTCACTTGACCATGGACATTTTTACCAATAGAATTATGGAAGCAGTCATCACATATATTTGTAATGATTAATGTCAAACTGTTGTTGTGTTCGCTCTTCTATGGTTGATTTGTAAAGATTAGATTTGTATGAGTGTGTGTGTGTATGTATGTTATTTGTCATATGGAAAATTCGTGAATTCACATGTGATAAACATGATACTACATTTTTTTAAAAGGTCATGGAGGCTCATAGAGTGTTTGTTGTTTTTTCATCCGTCTTGCTTCATTAGAGTTTGTCATATAGGTGATAAGTCTATCCCTTCTTTCCTATTTATTGCATTCGATGTGGTTTAAATGTGGAAGGATTCAGAGGTCAACCTTTCCTAGAATTTCGACATTGTCTAAATCAATTATATGTCCGCTGTCTATCGCATGCATTGCTATAGACGATCCTTTTTCTAGAATTTTTAATTCTACTTCATTTCTAGGTGGACGTTTTGTGCATAGTCTATGTTCATTCACTCTGACCTTCACCTGTCTACTTCTCTCCCCTGTTTAGCAAGCTTCAAATTCTGAACACTTTATCTTATAGACACGATTACTTTGTGACATTTTGGAAACCATATCTTTGACAGTCACCAAGGCTTTCTCTAGACAATTAGAGGGCTTGAAATACACTCTAATATTATACGAAGCAAATAGTCTTTGAAGTTGTTCAGCTGTGTCCTTTCGATATGGAATGGCTATCGTCAATAGCAATGATTTTTCAATTTTCTGTTTTCCCTTATGCTCATTTTGATTGATAATGTTATCTAGTAGTTTTTCCGGATAACCATTTTCAATCAAAATCTGTTTTATATTGGATATCTCATTCTCCATATCATCATTATCTCTTGTTATAATGTTTATATCTCTGTCAAACGAGATTTAAAGCTACTGTAACCTTCATTCCTATTGGACGATCTGAATGGAAATTCAAATACATGTTGGAATATGTCGGCTTTCTGTACATAGTAAACATTAGTTTCTCGTCAGTTTGTCTTTTTGCAAGACAATCAAGAAAGTTTAAAGTCCCCTGCGCTGATTCTACTTCATTAGTAAACTCTATATATTCTGAGATTAAGTTAATTTCTGTTAGAAAGTTCTCTATTTCAGCTTTCCCTTATGACAATAAATGTGTCAACTACACATCCGTACCATATTCTAGGATGACAACTAAAACTTGTCAATGCTTTCTTTTCTAGAGCTTTCATATACAGGTTTGCTACAATTGGAGATGCTGGTGAACCCACTGCAACTCCATTTGTTTGACAGTATAGTTTGTCTTTAAAGGTAAAATATGTAGATTCCCAACAAAGTTTTAGGCATTTTATAACTTCATCTATTGATAATAATAAAGATTTAGTCAATACTTCCTGATCGTTGTCAAGTTCATATTTCATATTATCGAGTAAATCATATATAGGAATACTAGTAAATAGAGAAACCACATCATAATAATAAATAATTTTATTCATACATTTGGTTCCCTTGATAAATTTCGATAAAGAAAGGAAGACGAAATTTGCAGTATAAAATGATATCATTCTATTTCACAGGTTCTCATCAGCTGCAGACTACCTGAAATTACAATTTCGTCTTCCTTTCTTTATCGAAATAATTTTATGACCTCACATGACCTTTTCCAAATGACAAATAACATACATACATACACACACATACACTCATAAAAAACTAATCTTTACAAATCAACTATATAAAAATATACACAACAACAGTTTGACATTAATCATTACAAATATATGTGATGACTTCATTATAATAAAGGTTTTTTGTATTTCTCAATGAATGAAAAACAAAACGATGTTGTTTTTACTGACATTTCGCTATTTAATGCTGATAGCTTTATCAAAGTATTTGAGTTGTTTCAAGTCTTCTTAGACGAGCACACTCTCTGATAACAGATGAGCAAGAAAAAAAAGAAGAAATATCAAACATTACTGAAACTCTCAAGCAAAACAACTACCCAAGGAACTTCATCAACAAAATCAACAGAGACATTAAGTATGGCCGAAAATACATTCCGAAAACATGGACATCAACAGTCGTCATTCCATATAGAGCAGAGACGTCAGACGATATCAGAAGAGTACTCAATCAGCTCGACATTAGAGTTTTCTTCAAAACATCGGACACACTTCAAAGGAACTTTGTCCATAAAAAAGACCAAATCCCTAAAGACTCTATCTAATTGTGTCTATAAAATAAAATGCTTGGAATGTGATGCGATCTACATCGGGCAAACATCTCGAGAAATCAAAATCAGAAGAAATGAACACCGTAGAGCATCTCTTTGACCACCAAGAAATCCAATTGAACTAGAAAAACTTCAAAAATCATCAGCCATCGGTATACATGCTATAGAATCAGGCCACAAAATTGATTTTGACAATATTGAAATAATCCAGAAAAACTTCAGAAACCACAAAGAACGTCTAATATCAGAAGCACTTCATATCAAGTGGAATACAAATTGCCTGAATAGGAATGATGGACTAAAACAGAATCTGACCTGGCTACAACACCCCCCCCTACCCCATGAAGTAGCAAAATCAACAAAAATGTGATAAGCAAGTTCACTATGTAAACCACACACTACTTTCATAATTCTACACACTGATAAAATCCAACAATCTACACTTGATTTTGTTATCTTAACCAATTCGCCAACTTGACAACCAAAAATGACTCCAGATTAACGAACGATGATCAAGTTAGTAAACTTTGTCTTGGTGTAATAACAGATAGACGGGAAAATCAAAAAATCCAATTCAATAATTAATATGACCCGTTGCACAAGAGGTGGCTCTCGTGGCCCAAGTGGTCTAGTGGATAACGCTTTGGCGTTCGAAACTATGGGTACTGGGTTCGAGCCTCGGTGGGAACATCATCACTCACTGAGAAATGCAGGTACATCCAGCTGACGAGTCCCAAATAGGATGAAATGCGAATCCTAAATTCCACTGCTAGTCACCATCCACCAATTGTATCCTAGATATACTATTACCTTTGATATTTGGTTTGAGTGATCTTCATTGTTATTTTGACTTTCAATATGTCCTTTTAACTTGCCCTAAGTCTATTTTTTCTCACCCCCTAACTCTTTGTTATATATATGCTGAGATTTTGTAAATTCCGGTTTAATAATACTTTGAGAAAGCTATTAGCACTAAATAGCGAAACGTCAGTAAAAACAATATCGTTTTGTTTTTCATTGATTGGGAAATACAAAAAACCTTTATTATATGTGAGCAGGGTGAAAAGTTGTCAGAAAACCGAAGGCAATGGAGGTGCGCAGCTGAAGCCCTATGCTCCTCTAGGAACTAAAGGATACAATAATAATAATAATATGTGATGACTGCTTACATATTTCTATTGGTAAAAATGTCCATGGACAAATGACCTTCAAATAAACTGACTTCAATTTATGTATAAAAAAACATTTTGACTATATATTTTGATGATGAATAAAAATCCGAATAACTCTTCTGAAGAAACTGTGACTTACACAGCGAAACATTCAGAAAACAGATCTTGTTTGGATTTTCTTAACACGCTGGGATTTTTTTCCTTCACGTTCCCCAGTGGAACATAGGGCTTCAAGCTAGAGGTTTAAGTTTATCTAGCAGTGTTGATTTTTACAGGATGGGGTTGCTAGCCTCATGCCTAACTTTCTCACTTTACCAGCTTTATTAATGGCGGGGATTAATTTAAATAATTTATAATGAATCAACCTGACTCGGCGTTCAAATTATTCCAGGAAGTTCGTAAAACCTACCGTCTGGAAACTTAAAAATATTCCTTTACCAAGTTTCTTGTCTTTTAGCGTTATTATAATAGCACATTTTTAT